ATAAGAGAACTGTCGACCTTAACAGACAAATGTCTAGCGTACAACTGACGTCACTAACGGGTCTAGGGAAATATGGTTTATATTTTCATAAAGAGATCTCATATTACGTATATACAATTAACATGCTTCATACGGTATAATCTGATTCTTACTGACGTAGAAGTTCAACATATTATTTGTAACATGTTTAGTAGTGACACTCGATGTGTGTTTAGGTGCATACCCCTTGGAGATAAGTCAATATTGACAGGTTGTTGACCCCACTTCCTTTCTTCGAACAAGCGCAAAGGACATTAGTGAAGGAACTAGAAAAACAACTATTAGCCGCGTTCACTTTGCCTGTAGTTAAGTCGAAATCGTGCTTTAGTTCTCAAAGTAGGGTATTAATATTATCGTAAAGCGTGTGTACTTCCACTGTATATAGATTATTGACAAATGGCGAAATCAAATTGCATTCACCTTATTACATCGAGATATAAAGGCACGAATTCAAGAACATCCGTGTTCCTCAGCAGGCGTTATCTAATGCAAATTTACTGTTCAAGATTAAGCTAGTTTGAAACAGTGCACGAAAGGGCCGACGAGTGTGCCTTCAGTAATAGCTCTTTTGCGTATTATCGATAAAACATTTCCTCGTGATCAAGTGTGAATAACAGTAGGTGGTCGCGACATTGATGGATGTTGCAAATGAAGATTATTAGAAGGAAGAGTGGTGTACCTTTTCTGCGCTGAAAGAGCGATTTATGTGTCAAATAGATTGAACGACTCGCGAGCAATTTCACTAACCCTGAGGATGTTATCAGTTCAAGAATTATTGTTCAAAACTTGTACTCGTATAATGATTTACTCTATGATATATGTAAAGTACTTCGTATTACAGCTTGATTTTTCGTTTATTTTGCGATTTATTTAGACAATTTTAACTTTTGAAATTTATTTGAACTAGAAATAGGAATAATTTAAATATGATATCACTGGGTATAGTTGTGAATGGTGAGTAGAAGACGGCTTCCGGCATTTAGTTTTCGTAGTTTGAGCATGCATCGGATCTGTATTCAGTCCGGCGGTTGGCCCAATTTTCAGACTAGTTATGTTAATGTCACTTAGCCAGTTTACATAAAAGTTTACGCATATCTTCACATATGTTACTCGAAGAAATCATTAATTGGGGTGTATAGCGGAATGGTACTGTTTTTTTTAATAGACTTTAAGAGATATAATCTTAATAAAGCAATTTTATGTATGTAAAGAAAATATTTTCATACATAAAATGGGTTATGATGATAACTGCATAAAAATGAATGGGTTTGGTTTATTGTCATGTATACTTATTGATATAATGATCAGTGATGATCATGATGATGATGACTTTGGCACTTGAAAAAATACATTACATACAGAAATAAAAATTACTGAGATCTTTTTTTAACTAATGACTAATCATACAAATCTGATATTTTTCAGACTTACTCGTAAATACTTATCATAATTAAAGATTAGTTGTAAATAAAAAATAATTAACGTTCATTAGCTCAAGTAATTGGCTATAATAAAATTTAGATTACAATATGTGATGGATTAGATGGAAGCATTCGAGTGAATATTAAGAAATGATTATAAATCTTTCATTTTTATTTTCTTTTAATAAGATGTTCTTTTAATAATAAAGATAATTAACTGCTTACGAAACATTTTAATATCGACCATTCCCATCTAATAGCATTATTATCTCTGTCATTTTCAAATTTGATACGAATAGTTTCTAAGTAGAAAAGGTAATTAAAATTACACCGACATTTGTTATCTTTTAAAAGAATTCAACGATGGTGATTTTTAATATAACTAGTTTTTTTTGTGCAGACTACGCAATTTTAATAATTATTTTTGAAACCAATCGATAAAACGAAAATTATAACGAGTATAGTTAATTTTGCTTAGTTTAGTTAGGTTTGCATACTACCTAATTAATCAAAAACGATTTTTTTTTAGTTTTTAAACTATTTATTGAGTGTTTAAATTCAATTAATCATTTGTTTTTTATTTTGGTTGTTGTAAACCATAGATAATATAATACTATACTAGTACGGCACTATGCATTACTTGGGAGAAAGTAGGATTCCTAACCTGTAGTTTGTCACTTTCTTCCCGCGATGAACAATGTACTTACTACTTGGCCAGTTATAGTATTTATTTTATTTAAATAATACATTCTTGTTTTCTGCTTATCTACATTATTATTTGCGAGTAAAAAGTATTACATTTCGATATATATGTGAATAAAAGATTAATTCATGCACTCTATAAAAATATGAAAAGAATTATAGAATTTGTTTAGTACTGACGATCCGACCTGGCTTCGCACAGCTAAAGAAATATTTCGACAATAATATATGGTCTATGTTACTTGTATATGATGTAATGTAGCTTTCTATAGATATTTTTTTAAATAGGTTCAGTTTTAGTGTATATTTCTGTTTTTCAAATCGATAGAGTAGTTTTTGAATTTATCCATTACAATTAAATCTTTCCCCTTTACTCGTATAAAATCAGTATACACTGAGGAAAAAAAAAAAACAGTAACAAATAACATTAGTAAAAACTGAGTTGCAGTCATTTAAAAACATGTGAAATACGTAAATACGAAGAGACTTTGAACAAAACTCGTTTGCTTGGGTACCTCTGTCCCATTTGTATTCCTGAAGTGAAGCAGTTGTTTGCATGGCTGTGTTTCGGTTTGAATATTGGGATATAACAGCGAAATTACAGGATACAGAGGCTAACACCTTAGTCCTCAGGAATGGCAATGAATGATTATGGTCATAGGCGATGGTTGCCAAACCATCAAAATTACATACCAAATATTTCGAGTATTTATGATTTACACTTATGCCATTACATAATGTCCATTAATATTTTATCGATCGTGTTAACCAAAAAATAGCATAGGTATTTATTTAAATCAAGTCCCATGGGAATGTAGACTTAATTTTAACGTACGTATAAAATATGTGGTAAGTACTGGCAAAACGATTACCGTTTTCCATCAGGTGGGCCGTCAGCTTGCTTGTTATTCTAAGTTGCATAAAAAAGAAAAAATATCCTTCTTTCTGTCTAAATGTTATGTGACCGTTATGAGAATTGCACCGTAATCTATTTACGTATTAGTGACAGCTATGGACCACAAAGTTTTGGTGTGAGTTATGCAAGATTAGTTTGTTGGGTGTCAATGGCTGCAACTATCTGTTATTTGATTGTGAAATTGCAATTGCAAGCCAGTCAAGCGTGCTTACTTAGCCACACAATCTATGGGAGTACGAGTTTTTTTAAGGTTCAATGAACACGTGGACGAGCCGAGAATATTAGCTACTGACGGATCGGTATTTTTTTCTATATGCACGTATCTAAGCGTGGGAAGTGATGAGTGTACTGCAAATGATGTAATGTATACACAGGTGCTCTGATTTGATTAATGGAATAGATTGGTAAAATTGAGTTGGCATAAGATAAGTGGGTTGTGTTTTATTTAAATGACGTGCGGTAGATGTAAAGTGACATGTACAAATAGGTTTTTTATATCTAACCACACTTTAATTACAATGGAAATGCAAACATAAAAAGTTCTCATTTCGGTTGTTAAAAATAATACTTATATTCTATTTTATTATTGCATTCGACTAATCCATGACAAATAATCTCAATAAAAACAATATATTTTCTAACTTTAAATTGTTTTCAGTCGGTCAGTGACGAACGACCATATGTTAAAAAACTAAAAATAGCAAATTTAACGAAATTGAAGATCTATTTATTTTCACGCCAAGTTTGCGGGGTAGGCAGAGAGATTAATGAGAATTGTAAATGTACTGTATGTATATCATTTAAATAAATATAACATTAATTAAAATATTTCACGGTTTATGATATTCAGTTGTTTAACCTAAATAAATGTGTAAGTTTATTTCTGTAATTTAAATGAGTTCGTTAATCAAGAATTGAATATACATCAATAGAGTTCATTATCTCGGTTTTAAAAGATTTTTTCAACAAAAATAGAATAATTATCCCAGGCGCCTACAATCCATTGACGTTAAATATTGCTATTCTTTACATACCTGGTGATATATTCGTTATATTTTGTTCAATATAAAAAACGTTATGCATTTTTACCTGAAACAAAACGGAAAACATCATTAAATTGTATGTTATGTTATTCAGGTGACGTACGATAAACGGTGTGGACGCAGATACAGTTAATATGTAAATTGTACAATCCTCTTCACGAGAAAGTCTCTTAGGAATACAAAAGATTTAAAAATTTAAATGTGTACTTTATAAATGGATATGTTGATCATTTATGCATCTTGTTTCAATATTAATTTGAGTTATTACAATAAAACTTTTTATTTTGACTAGTTTTAATATCACAATCATCATTTTAGTGATTCATTATGCGTTGCTGATCTAAACTGTGATAGGAATGTTAATTAAAATCCCAATGCATTATAATCATTATAACCATTACAGTATAATCTTAAATAGAGTAGCGACATCATTCAATTAAATCCAAGTTCCCACAAATTATTATGGTATTTCTCGATTCTAGAGAGAATCGTTTAGATAGCGTGTTACATAATGGTAGCTTTACTTTTATCTGATGTTATTATGATCACAAACACGCAGCGAACAATCGCATCCGCACTCAGCGTACAGTGCGTTCGGAAACGAATAGCTTCACTTATGTAAATACAAAAGAGAGTTACAGCAAGGGGCGGATTCCGGGAAACTCTTAAGATCGTAGTGTTCGTAATTATATGTCGATACTGGGAAGCGAGAAGGTTCGTGAATGGGAAACACGATTGTACGTATACACACATGCATGTAGGATTCCGCACTTACACCGTATGATTACGTATCATCTGTCTATAATTCAGTATGTCGTAATTGAAAAATGCTCACGTGTAAAACACGTAATTAATAATAGTTCATTTTTTTGCCCACAGGACGGCGGCGCCCGATAGCGGATAGTGGTTGTGCAGCTAATAGGTCAGTGACCGTGCCACCTTACTTCTGCGATCGGAATTCGTGAATCCTCAGAAATAACACATCATTATGTCTTATTAGATGTCGAGGAAGCACTTAGAGCAAATTTACGGAAAATAACACGCTCAGCTCTAGCGGGCGATTGTTCACGGATCCATTCCTGTAACTGTTGTAAAGTATGGAGCTAACTAATAATTTAATAAATTAAAACATAAAAGCAGACTTCATCATTAGATAAATTCAATAATACGTATGCAACAAATATAAACAACTTTGTGAAAGTATAAATCATTAAATTGTGTATTAGTGCTAAAGAAATTGCAAGAGAAATACAACATTTTTTTAGATAGAATAAAGAATGCCTAAAAAATTTAAAGATTTTAGTGGGCTTTTACAAGCAATTATTTAAATTCAATAATAATAAATAGACAAAGATAAGTCACTATTCTTAGTTCTATAAAAAACAATTTATTTTTATTATTATGTATTTAATTACGTCATTAGTAGCAATTTAATGTCTGTGGAAACTTTACTGCTAAATGTGACGTAGTTATATGCAACGAATCACACCATAACGTTGTTTAATGTTCCTCGACTTTTTGCTACGTAACACATAAAAATTCAAGATATTAATTAAAATAAACGGTTATTAAATTTATTTACATCATTAGCAGTATTGATTTAACAATTTAGCAATAAACCGTTTAGATTGCTTTAACCCATGGTACAACGAATGAAATTTTATTATCGTCCAACTAACAAGAGTATTTCACACATGTAAGAGAACACAACGGTAAACAGTTCAATGTAACACCATAATAATGTCAAATTACCTAAGAACACGATTAAGAATACGAATAAAGGCATGTGGAAGTCAACGATGTGCAAACATAGTTACAGTTATATTTTCTGGCAATACCTGAGTAGTGACTCGCGAATAATCAGGTGAGCGAGCGTGTAATGCAGCGTTCATTACCAAAATTGATGCACGCATATTATGAAACTAGTTATCAAATAAATCCCGTTGCACGTAAAAAATGTGAAAATAATGAAGATTGTTTTAAATTGCTTCCACATAGTTTTACAGAGCGGCACGCTTTAGACAAAATATAAAAGTATGTAGTAAGATTACTTAATAGTTACTACGTAAGCAGTATTTCATCATTCATGGTAGTTTAAATTATTGAATATTCGACGAAAAAAGTTTTATAATTTAGATAGTTTTAAGCAAATTAAATTAATAGATGATGTAAATAAACAACTACTTCATCATCTGTAAATATCTATAGTGATTGAATATTTTTTTTTAAATTTAAGTATTTTCTCTCTCTCTCTCTCTCTCTCTCTCTCTCTATATATATATATATATATATATATATATATATATATATATATATATATATATATATATATATATATATACACATATATATATACACATATATATATACACATATATATATATATATATACACATATATATATTTAGATGATTGAGAATATAAAATTATAAAGTTATCGACCTTGATATTAAAGTTTTCTTCCATATTTAGTCCCAACGAAAAAGGGCCGTGATTCAACGTTTATACCTAAATATCTGAATTAAGTCAACCGGTTTCTTAAAAACGCCATCCTGTTATTTTTACCGTTTCCTGAGTGCAGAGTAAAATTGTGACCTACATAGCATTTTGTCTGGTGCACTTCATGCATGCTTGATTTTAAAATACAATAAGCGTCTAGTAATATGAGATTTCATAAATGTGTTTGAATACTGTTCGTAGTAAGTTAGATAGGCAAAAGACACAGCGTCTGCATTATTTTATATAGAATGTAAAACTATTACATTAAATAAAAAATAAAAAGGACTTGATCATATTTTTATAAATTGATTGTTATTACTTATATTTTAACAAATTGACTGACAACTTTACAACAACAGATTAGCTCACGGTAGATTTAATGATAGATTAGTAAATTAGTTTACAGAAATGATTACAGGAAAATTATTTTAAAATCCAAACCATACGAAATTTAATCCAATAAAACAATTTTATTACGGCGCTCTATTGAATAGGCTATTGCTTTTTAAATGTGCAGTCAGCCGTATCTCTATAGACTGCGAGCTTTAAATATTTCAATGGGTCAAAATGAATACAAAAATAAAGTTCGTCAAGTGTAATACCGGTTTAACACGGTTAAGTAAAGCCGTTGTTTCAATTTTACTAAAAATCCAACGAATTACAATTGTATTTAATTATTTGTGCTATGAAAGCCCTTGCGGCTCCGCTTGCATGAAATTGAGAAATCGACATGAGATATGAAGCCTTAGGTTTTTCCATTATATAAGGTTTTTCAGTGTGCTTAGTTCTAAGTTAATATAATATAACATTAATAAAAACGATCAGGTTATGGAATGAGCTCCATCTCGGTGTTTTTCCAAAAGAGTTATGCTGTAGCATAGGGTTTTTCAGGAAAGAGGTAGAGGTTTTTTCAGTATCAGCAATGCGCGCGTAATGCCCCTGGTATTGTAGGCGTTCATAGGTTATAGTAATCGCTTACCATCAGGCGGAGTGTATGGTTGTTTGGGACAAATAGCTAAAATCACGAGGCATGAATCTGATATGTTTAATCGAAGTTCCCTAATTTTTAAGCCTAATTAAAAAATTTAAATCTTTATCCCTAATAAAATAAAATCTATTTAGTTAAATTGTCTAAAATTCACTTTTACTGAACTATTCGAGAAAATCGTAAGCGTCCGTTTTTTTCTGCAGTGGTTTATTATTTCGTTTTAACAATTCCCATATTAGGTACCTTTGCTTATTATATGTTTCGATTTCACTATTGATTTATGTTCATGCGAGTTGCATCCAGTGACATGCCCATTTAGATAAAGACTATAAATTTTTTTAGTGACATGAAATAATTTTTTTAGAAGATAATGAATGGAAGAAATTATGATGATATTGCTAATTTAATGAAAAGACCACTAAAGTTTATGGACTGAATCTATAATTTTCGCAAGATCATTTCCTGATATTATATTGTTATTATAGCTCGTTATATCTAGAACTGATGACCAGAATTATTCACACTTAAACTCGGAATAGCTGAAATAACTCTAAACTCGTTGTCCAGGTCTTAACCCGCATCAGTATATTAGGTACGTATAATTGGCTAACGTTAAATATTACAAACAGAGAGAAATTATCTTTACTCACATTATTGATGGGTCTAGTCAGGGAAATTCTGGTTAATAGAATTCAATAGCGCATTTACATTCGACAAATAGATTTTATGAAGTGTGAATTAATGTATTATGTATGAAGTGACATGTGAATTGATGATCATAGTTGATTAATTGTTAAGAACTATAAATTTCATATCATTGACACAGTTACTATCTAATAATAATTAGTTTGAAGAAAGTATGACGATTGTGTAGATATTTATTATTTTTCGCTGCACCGACTAGCATAATCAAATTATTAATATTTTTTTTTAATTTAAAAAGATTTACGTGTTGGGATCATATGAACTTTGTCATGATTAAGTATGTTTAAACAAAAATATAATATAAAAGAACAAGTTACTGTTATAATAAGTAGTGTAAAAAATCTCAAGTTCTTAATAATTAAAAATAACAACAAAAATAGTTATTGGAAAATTAGTTCAAGACAGAATAATTTTAGCACAGATAATGTTATCGCAAACTCACTCGGTGCCGACGATCCGTGCGTTCGCATCCGTCGTTCTTGCGTTAATTATATTACGATAATGTCATAATACAAACGCATGATTGCGCTTGATCCATACTGCGATGAATTCTTTGGATTATTTCTTAGCAAATTACATACAGGTGCTTCATCTGTGCAAGATTTTTTTATAATAGGTGGGTTTTTTTAAATAGGGGTTTTTTATAATAGGAAAAATCATATACATCGTATACATATGCAATTGTCCTCTAATATACAATATGTACTTTAATTAAAATACATATTATAAAAATGGAATTAGTTTTTTAAATATGTAAAACATATGTACTTATAGTGTTATATATATTTCATCGTATCTATTAAAACTGTTTATGTATTTACTTTTGACACTTTATAGACATACCTGTTGGAACCGTATTTTATCTATTATATGTATTGTAACTGTTTCTGATATTTACAGACTGACCACAACACGATTTCATTACTCGAACGAAATTCAAATGGGCTGTTATATTGCGTACGCTATATTGTTTCTCTATTCGACCGTGCTATAATCAAGAATCATTCATATCGAAATAGATTTTATGTTAATTTAGCAAACGTTCAGAATAAAGATTAGTTTAAAGCGAACACACTAGCAGTAATACAGGAAATGTCCAAGTCCAATATCCACCCTGAGGCGTAGGGTATGGCATCGGGAAGCAATCGTTGTATAGACTAAAGAACAAGCAAAAGGCGGTCGCGATCTCCGCCAGGGGCTTTTAATTGACAATGGATAGCAGCCGACCTGCATAGATTCGTTGCTTGATAGGAATTTACCTTTAACCCACTCATTATAGAGTTTGAGACAAATAGCGAACGAGTCCTCTGCAGCGCTTTTAGTTTCTACAGGTTTTAGTTTATTCATTCACAAACACAGTTTAGTTAAAACCTTTACTTTCTACATTTTTAATACATAGTAATTTTATCAATTGTGAATTGATTTGATATTTTTTTATCGAAGAGATTTATCTCCTTATTAATTTCATAGTACTAAAGTCTTTAAGATTGAATTATGTCGTTTCGATAGGATTTATTTCATTTTATATAGTCTACATTTAAATCTTATAGTTAAATTTAGTGGTGGGCATCTATAAGTAATGGACTTGGCAGAAACACGGACACTTTAAATAATTGTTTTGTTGAATGCCAATATGTCTTTGAGATGTAATGAAGCTGGTGGTAAAGCACTACAGTTGCGATTAATTGCAACTAGCATAGACATAGAGCGGATTTTGTTGTGGTTTAAGT